CCTCTGAGGTAGCCGCTGGACTAGAGTCTACACAAGAACCTACACTAGCAACAGGCAACTGAGCAAGGCTAGCACCTAAGCTAACAACACCAGAGTAAGCAGAGTCAGAAACACTAGAGTCAACAACAGCATACATAGCATGGGGAGTACCAATCAGATCAACTAACTGCTCAGCAGACATGCCCCACAGAGCGGAGCCGTAGCGCTGAACAAGAGGCAGCCAGTCAGGGGCAGGAGCACCAACCCCGTAGACCAAACGAACCGTGTCAGTGAGCTGAGCAAAGCACTGACCAGGGGGGTGAAACCGGCCACAAGGGTGGCCACGACGAGGGCCTGTCAGAACCTGGTAGGTGCAGGGAGTGTAAGCAGCACCACGCTGGGTCTGACGCAGCCCCGACCCTGGAGCCAGCTGCTGCCGCTGCTGCTGCTGAGGCTGCTGGGAGGAGAGGGGCTGCTGGTGCTGCAGAAGCTGCTGCTGACGCTGAGCCTGGTACCACGCCGCTGCTCCACCAACCGGGGCAGGAAGTACAGGAGGCGACTGACGAACTCGGGCGTCGCCACCACTAGCAGGCGCAGTGGAGTCACCAGTCACTGCACGAGGCGCCTCTCCAGGCCCTGAACCTCCACCGCCGCCAGGCGCAACGCCACCTCCACTACCTCCGCCTCCACCTCCACTACCACCACCAGAACCGCCTTTCTTGCCACTCCTACCGCGGGACCGCGACGCAGTCGTAACAGCAGCTGCAGTCGCGTCAGTAGCGGCAGTGGCAAGTGAGGCAGTAAAGGTGGGTAACTGCGGGACTGTGCACCCGTGGAAGAGTGGGGGGGGCACAGCACCAGAGGCAGCGGCTACCGAGCGAAGGTTGCTCTCGACGTCCTTGAGTGTAGACTCAAGGACATCGACGGTGAGCTCACTAGGGTGCTTCAGCAGAAGCGCGTCGCGAACGGAGGCAAGGCGGTCAGGGAGGCTAGTGGCGATGAAATAGATAGTAATCGCCATAGGGGGAGGAAGCAGTGCAAGCTGTGCGTCAGTGCAAGCAGCGCGGTAACTAGCGTCGAGCGAGCGGAGGTGAGCGATCAAGTCAGCAGAGCGCTCAAACGAGGCGAGATCAGGAAACAGGAACGGGAGGAAAAGACGGCCAAGAGAGACAGTAGCGGGAGTAGAGTAGCGGGCCTTAATCGCAGTGAGGTACGCAGCAGCGGTGCGAACCTGAGTGAAGTGGACCTCCTCTGACTCAGGGAGGAGGCTGCTGAGTGCGATGCAGGCCGCAGCGTCACGCGACGTCCAAGCCGTCCTGTCAGCGCGCTGACGGGCAAAGCGAGCCGTAGCAGCATCGTCAGGGGCAGGACCTGAGCCACTAACAGAAGCACTGGGTGGTGGGCGAGTTGTCGAACCACCTGACCTGCACTCCACGCACATGCATGCACCCAGTGCAGCATGCACCCATTGCAGCATGCACTGCATTCTGCGCTTTGGCCCACGACCAGTAGAGTCCCATGCTGATGGTCACACATCTGCTCACAACCAGCGCGGTTGGGCCTCGCTGTTGTAGAGTGCACTACGTACCGTAGACTGCAGACCCAGAACGACCAAGACAATGCTGGTGCCAGCAGCCTATGGGCAGCAATATTCTTGCACCAACGCACTCAGGAGGGCATCCCGTCCACGCGTGCAATGAATGCACCTGCTTACTGCCGCACATCCCTCCCTGCCAAGCACCAGCAAAATAGTTACTGCTACTGTGCAAGCCACCATGATGCAACAACCGCTGGCAGAGTTCGGCATACAGGCCCACGCACGCCCATACTTCCTGCAGGTTGTCATTCCGACTTTGGTAAGCCTTGGTATTTTGTGTATGGATGTCGATCTTCAAATCATTATGAGTTGCCATATCATCTAAATGCCATGTTTGTTTGTGTTTTTGTGTGTGTAAAGAAACGGTTATGTGTTGTGTTCAGACAAAGACAGTTTGAAGTTACAGAATGTTCCATATAAATATCTTTTACTTATTCGCGATATCGGAACAGGCCCATCGAGTTCTGACACCTGCTTTCCTGAAATGTCTCCCCCAGTCAGGTCGCTGCAGTCAACGGTGGGGATACACTGCAAGCGAGGCAATGCCAACCACCGCGCGCGCGCTCCTCGCGTTTTCCGCGAGAACGTGGGAAGTGGCGGAAAAGGCTTTCCCCTTCTGCCCCACCCTCCCCGTCCACCTCTTCTCCCCCTCACCAACCGTTGGTTCACTTGACTCTGCTGTGGATGCACAAATTCTACCAGCGCAACCACAACACAAATCTCCGTTGTCCCACACCTCGCCACCACCATCTCAGAGCTATAATCGCGTGTAACTAAGGGCACTATTCGGTTCCTCCCACCATTGGCGGCAGTGCGACCGTGCCGATTAGGCCGCTAGTAGGCCCGCGAGAATAAGAGCCGCTATGACAACTAACCCGGGGAGCACGACGCAAGAAAAGCCGCAAGAGGAGGCGGCTAGAACGCTTGAACGAGCCGAACCGGAGCTTGCGCCTCCGATAAAAGCCGCTGATGCTCCACTTGCCGTCCCCACATCCGCTTTCCCTCCGCAGCCTGTTCCGCCTCTCCTCCAATACGTCCCGCCTCTCGCCCAATATGTTCCGCCTCTCCCCCAATACGTTCCGTCTGTCCCCCAATACGTACCGCCTCAACCCCAACTACCATTCGCCGTGATGGGCACTCCCGTGGCGTCGCCGTGGCCTGCTCGTTGCGCCAAACCCGAGAATAGCCGCGTGGTACGCAATGTAGATTGCAGTGTCGTAATATAGATTTTAGTGCGGGACCCATGATGGTATTAATAGCAAGTTTTTAGACAGGGGGACTTGTTAAGAATCTTCTGTATTTCCCTCTCCCCGCTGCACTGCCCACTTCGCCTGTCGGTTTTCACGTAGCAACACTCTTTGGCTGGAACTCCGAAGGCCTGCTTCTTATCATCAGCGCACCACGCCCCCGTGTTGGTGCCACCGCACTTCACGTCTGACGTGGCACGGCACTGGACTTTCCCCTACCTGGTTCCGCCCACCCCAGGTGATATCAGGGGTGGAGGGCGGGGCAATGGAGGTGCGAATACCCGGGGAAGGTGGATGCACCTTCTGGCTCCTCACTCTCCTTCTGGTGAGAGACCATACCCTCACTCTCCTTCTGGCTCCTTATAGTGAGCCAATGCCCTCACTCTCCTTATAGTGAGCCCATGCCCTCACTCTCCTTATAGTGAGCCCATGCCCTCCCTCTCCTTCTAGTGAGCCCATGCCCTCACTCCTACCTCAGGGAACCATCCCCTCACCCGCTTCTTAGTTAGCTAATTCCCTCACTTTCTTTCTAGAAAAAAGCGCTGCTCACTCCCGTCGTACTAAATAGATCAGCTCGTCAGTCGCTGCCCTCCCATGCAAGTCCCTCCCCTCGCATTTCTTTTCAGCCGAGCTCCCCCCTTCCCACCTGCTCGCTCCTCTACCCCACCCGTCCATCGCCCCACTTCCCTGCCTGCCCTCTCAACTCTCTCACCCGCCCTCACAGATTGTGGTCGCAATACCAGTCATAATCGCTTTACCCATCGCAATCTGCATCGTCCCCTGGTGGGTACCTCAAGCTCTGAATCCCCTGGTGAATACCTCAAGCTCTGAGTCCCTTTTAGACTGCCTCTGGCAACGCTGTAAGGGCAGCACATCACATTGGCATATGATGCCACATGCAGAGCCTCGTTGGCATGAAGAGCCTCGTTGGCATACAAGCCCATCACCACATACCCTAGTTCAAACGTCCAATTTCCCAAAATTCACCTCCCAGCTTTTCATATCCCATGCTCACTCCCTCCTCCCTCTTCCTCACACCTTCCATGCCCATGCTGCTCTCGACCCGCCCACCCACCCATCTCAGGATCATTGGTGCTCGCATCAGAGCTGCAACTCGCTCTGAAACCATTCTTTTATCGGCCCACCTCTTCAGCATCACAATCAAGCTTCCAGACAGGACCACGGAGCAGCGTGGCAGCACGGCAAGGCTGCAAGCCATTCTGGTGCAGGACTTGAATTCGCCACAGCCGCTGACGTCCCCGCCAATGCACGGGGCAGGGTATCGACCAGTGGCTAAGCCGCCAAATCTGGTGTGTGTGTGTTTGTGGAGCAGCAGCAGGACTACAGATTTGGCACGACTCTGAGTGACGCGGAGAAATACTGGGTGGTGGGGAAGCTGTCACACCACCTGCACTGCATGCGCCTGCAACCCGCAGAGGAGTATGTGTGACATAAGGATTCACTTTTGAGAATTCTCAAAAGTGATTCTCAAACCCGCAATGGAGCACGTGTAACATAACGATTCCAGCAGATTGCGCTGGAGATACAGCAGGAGCATTGGTTCGACAAGACTAGGAGTGTTACAGAGCAGCACTGGGTGGTGGGGGAGCTATCACACCACCTGCACTCCCTGTGCATGCACGGCACAGCATGCCGTGTAGACCAAGGCTGGGAATACCCCATTAGGTTGTACGATGTACATCACATGGTCCCACTGCTGCACCCTGGGCTGCTTCGGGTCGGGTCACAGCCTCTCGTAGCTGTGCCACGGCTTTACCGTGCCACGCTTGAACTGGCATGTCACTTGCTCCTGCTAGTCGCTCACCTGCACTTCACTTGAATGCCCTGTAATACAAAGCTTGTACCCGCACTGCAGAAGCAGGTGAGTCGGCCAGGGCCACAGTGAATCAACCGTGCCATTCGCCATAACTGCCTTTCCCACCAGCGTACCAGGCTTGTTACTGGCCTCCGTTCCCCCCCTGCCACTCAACACAGTTGGTGATTCCCATGATATATAAAAGCCTTTTCATTGCAGCAAGATCTGTACAACACGGGCTGAGCAACAGCCAAAGAGAGGCAGCACCTCCCATGGCAGAAGTGCTTCCAGAGAAGCGTGGACAACGAGACATGGAGTCTCAAACGCGGAAAACCAGACCCCTTGAGACACTCCACTGCACTCACACCAGCCGGAAGACTGCACACCTCCGCTTCTGCATCACGCAAGCAAAGAGCATGCCGGTATGTGAGACGCACACGCACACACCATGCCTGTCACATGATGCTGCCATCAAAACAAATACCACTGAAAAGATCATCATAGATGGTGACTCTGCATGACAGATAATGAATCAACAAGGCAGGCAGTGAGCCCACGTGGCAGGTAGAGGGGCAGGTAGAGGCGCCGCGTGGCAGGTATAGAAACCAGGGGCGCACGCACCTCTGGGAACTGCGGGTTGTCGTCGCGGGACTTGAGCTTCGCGATGTTGTTGCGGCCCAGCCCCATCTTGATGAGCAGCGATTCAAACTCCACTATGAAGCATGTGCCAGAGTACTGCTGCTGCCACGGCACAGCACGGCAGAGAGGACAAGAGAGGCGGTGATTCACTCAGCTTCATCAACAGATATGGTGGCCACATGCCATGGGAACCACGTTGGTCCTGGGAACTGCTGCGGAGAGAGGCTGGAACAACGATGGAGATGACCGGAGCAAGAACAGGAAGAAATGGAAACGGCTGTACAGACCTCAAGAGCACATGGTGCACAAGAGAACACAATCCGGGCTGGGAAGCATACCCTCTTGGGCGACGAGCCTCGCACGACGAGCTTCATGCCGGAGCTGTTGACCAGATCAAACGACGGACACGAGCGGCCGCGCTCCCCCTGGTGAGATGGGATGGGAAGAGGTCGTAGGAGGGTGCAGCCAGGGGTGGTCAGGCAATCGCAACGTTCCTTGGTATACAGAAATGGGGAAGGATACGCAGAGCTAGGGAGTAAACGACAGGGAATACAGTAAGGAAGGGAGGGGAAGAAGATGAGAGCAGACACGAGGGAGAAGGAAGGTAAGAAGAGAAGGGGGATGGGAGGAGAAGGAACAGAGACAAGGAGGGCGAGAGTGAGTGAAGGAGGTGAGAGGGACAGGAATAGCAAGGCGAAGCACAGGCGGCGATGAAACAAGAGGCAGAGCGGCGAAACGAGCGGGGAAAGGAGTTGGGAGGAAGAGGCGCACTCGTACTGTCCGGCATTTGTGCTTGAGCGTGCCGCCTATGACGGGTGCTGTTGTCCTCGTGGACGCACTGCCAAGCACCGCCGGTAGAGAGAGGCGCAGGCGAGATGCAACGAGGGGCGAGCGGGTAAGACGAGAGGGGGAGCGAGATGAGACGAAGGGGAACAAAATGTGATGAGCTGGCAGGGAAAATGAGCATGGGAGCGAAGTGAGCGGTCATTTGAAGAAGAGACTCATTGGGAGTTGAAGGTTACACGAAGAAACAACTCACTTGTAAAAGAGCAGCGAGTCGGAGAAGGGCTGCGAGGGGCGCATGGTGAGCAGCAGGTAGAATGGAACGAGGGCTAGAGACCCGTTGAACGCGAAGTCGCACTCCTGCCTTGGCGGCATGGCGGTATGATGGTGTGGGGTATGGGGGCATGAGGGCATGAGGGCATGGGGGCATGGGCGCATGGTGAGCAGCAGGTAGAATGGCACGAGGGCTAGCGAGCCGTTGAACGCGAAGTCGCACTCCTGCCATGGCGGCACGGGGGTATGATGGTATGACGGCACGGGGGTATGATGGTATGACGGCACGGGGGTATGATGGTATGGCGGCAGGAGAGCATGACAGTATGGCAGCATGGCGGATGGGGGCATGGCAGCATGGCGGCAAGGAAGCATGGCAGCACGGCGGCATGACATGGCATGAAGCGCACGCGCGATGGATGGAGCAATGCACGGAGAACGAGGAGGATGATCTAAGATCGGGATGGGGAGATAACCATGTCACTCGCGACAGCCACGTCTTTCAAGACCTCACAGCTCCTCCTTTTTCCCTCCGGCCACTCAGTAGTCCACCTCCCCCAGTCCCCCCTTTCCCCTTCTTTCTCTCGCCCCAAGCGCACATGCGGAACTGCAAGCCCGCTTCTCGTGCGCGGCGGTTCGAGCCCAGTCGACACGCTGCCTTCAGATTTCCCCCACGCTGCCCTACGGTCGCCCCGTACGGGCCCCAATCTCCCGCCATGCCCGCTTGCGCGGGGATTTCTCAGCCGACCGCCCTCCAGCGCGTTCCTGCCCCACGTGCCCCACCACTGCCTCGCGCTCTTCCGCACTGCCACACACCCTCCCTGTCGTTGCACACCCACCGTCCCACACCCATACCACCCCACACTTCCACCGATAACCTCGACCCCATGCCTACCTGATTCGGCAAGACGCAGTCCAGCACTCCAGGCGCCTTCGCCTTTTTGCCCTTCACAGCTGCATTATCTGCTTTAGCTTTCACAACAGCCCTCGCCGTTTTGCGCTTCGCTGCGGCCTCCGCTCTCTCGCGCTTCGCGGCGGCCCGCGCCGCTTTGCGCTTTGCCTCGGCCTGCGCTTTCTTGCGTTTCTCGCCGGCCTTGGCCTTCTTGCTAATCTCCGCAGCCTTCGAAGTCTTAAGCGCACTCGCTTGGAAAGCTTGCCAGTTGACGCTCATTCCGCCAGGCGCCTGACGTGCGTGCTCATTCCTATCGCTCTCTCCCGGAGCCGGCGCGGGTGACAATGCGAGGATGCGCGCGGACATGACGGCGTTGAGGCCATTAGGGCGCGCGGACTCGCAAGCGGAGCAACGCGGTGTTAGTCTGGAGCCACTCGTGCGGGGCGAGGCGAGGAGGAGAAGGAGGACCGACGCGACGAGAATATTTTGCAAGATACCGCGTCGTGGGACAGCTCGCGGCTGACGCCTTCTGTCGCGATCGTTCCCGCTCGTAAACAGCTCTATGCAATTTGATTTTGTCAAGTGAACGGGGAAAACTCGTCGGTCATTGCGGAAATTTCGCCATCTAGTGCGATCGGGAGTGCAAAGTGCGTGCCCTGTTTCTCGTCTGCTCCGTCTCGATATTGATCGGCCCGATAAGGTAGAGAGGGTCTGGCAATGCGACGACATGATGCTTCTAAGGGGAGGTGGGATGAAGAGAGTGAGAGAGAGAGAGAGAGAGAGAGAGAGAGAGAGAGAGAGAGAGAGAGAGAGAGAGAGAGAGAGAGAGAGAGAGAGAGAGAGAGAGAGAGAGAGAGAGAGAGAGAGAGAGAGAGAGAGAGAGAGAGAGAGAGAGAGAG